TGGAGTCAATTCGCTTTACAGTTTATGAAGAAATACAATCTAATTCCCTTATCAAAAGTCTAGTAGAATAGTGATGTTGGTTTTAAGCCACTTTCGGCGGGCTAATTTCAACTGTCGCGAATGTTCGTGTGTGTTCGTGGAGAACCTTCGACTGTTAGGCAAATTCTTAAAACTCCAGTGCCAATTAACAAATGAAAAAAAATCTATAAATATATGGATGTGTGGTTAATAGTTCATTTATAGTTATAGTCTGTCTCGATCTTCATCGTGCCGGCTTTTGCTGTAGGTCTTAAAGGCAGAACATTGGGGACGAACTCTCAAAGGTTTTGGTAATATTTTTTTTTTGTTTATTCAAGTGGATATAATTATATTTAATTACACTAAGAAAGACTAAAGTATTTGATAGAGTGCAGCTACAGGTCGCGAAACATATGCATTATAACAGAAATATCCAATTTGATGTAATAAAACTAATCGAAAATATATACAAAACAAATAAAATAGAAGCAAGAATAAATTCAGAGCTAACTGAGCCCACAAATGTAGCCTTTATTATTTAACATTATATTAGACGAAATAATTAGAGAAGTAAAAACAAAAAAAAGGCTATAAAATGGGTGCTGTATTGATTTGCAGATCAGTTCAATATAAACGCAAAGAAATTTAACATGAAAATATCGGCCCAAAAAACTAAATCACTGCTACTCTCTAAAGAACCAGATGTAATCTGGAACTTGATAACCAAATTATAGAGCAGGTAATGAACATCAAATATTTAGGAATTAACATGAACATGATAATAACATAAAGAATGAAATAAGAGAACAAATTGCAAAAGCCAATAGAATAGCAGGATGCATAAGCAACACGATATGGAAGACTAAATCGTCGAAACAAATTCCGGCATATATAAATCTGATAGCCAGTCATGACATATACCGCTGAAACAAGACTGGAAACATCTAAGACTCAGAAATGCCTAGAGAGAAATGAAATGAAAACATTAAAGAAAATAGAGGGAAAAACGATCTGGGATAGCGAAACATACATGTTATGTTTGTTTATTTATTTATTTATACAGTGTTGCCCAATCTCTATACATGGCCTCGCCAGCCAAGTTGTTTCTTTTCTATGAATTCTTCTATCGATTCCGCCTTTAACTCTTCTCTTATAAGTGCATTTCTAATTTTGTCTCTTCTACTTATTCCTTTCACTCTCCTCAAGTATTTCATCTCGGCTGCTCTAATTTTGCTCTTGTCCCTATCTGACAATATCCAAGATTCGGAACCATATGTTAGGGTTGGTCCGTAAATTGTTTTGTAAGCTTTCATTTTACCTTCCTTAGAAATTTCCTTTTTATTTATGAAAACCCTACTCAATGCGTAGTGTACCTTATTTGAATTTTCTATTCTATTATTTAATTCTGTATCCTGTTCTCCTGTTTCGTCCCAAGTGCTGGAAGCTATTAACTTATTCCATTAGTGTCCCACATATTCTCACCTCTAATTTCTCTTTTTCGTTCGACACTGCCATAACTTTGGTTTTATTAATGTTCATTTTCATTCCGTTTTTTGTTAGTGTCTAATCTGAATTACTTAGATTTTCCTCCCGATCCTTCGAGGTTCCTGATATGATCGTTATATCAGCGGCAAAGGCACATTCCAATATGTCCATATAAGTTATGAATAGTAAAGGGCTCAAACTACCCTCCTGTCTCACTCCTTCTTGTGTTATAATCTCCTTTAATTTCATGTTCTTACTTATTACGCAAATTCTTGTTTCGTTGTATAAACATTTGATAACTCTTAATAGTTTATTGTCAATGTTACTTGTAGGCTTTTCCAGATTTTTATTCGCGGTACTTTATCAAACGCTTTTTCCATATCTAAGAATGCCACGTATACTGCTTTAGATCTTGTCAATTATCTCGAAATTACTTCTTTTAAAGTGAACACGTGATCTTAGGTTCTTCTGATTTTCCCGAAACTCACTTTGCGTTTCTGTTAAGGTAATTCAATAATAATATACCATTTACATTTGAAGCAAATCTCAAGAAACAATCAATGAAAAACACAATTAAATATTTAAAAGAGGATATGTACAACATATTAACATCTCGGGGAATCTAACAGCCGATGCTGATCATTGGTGGTGGACTGACCTGAATCACACATCTTTCCAGGGAGTCTGATGGATGTCCCTATACTCCACCGAAGAAAAAACAGTAGTTGTTAATTGAGTTGTGCTGTTGACAAAATAACTTCCTAGTTGTCACCTAGCTCAGATGTTAATTTATTTTTTTTATAAACCAAATATTACCCTCATAAACTTTGACCAATATCAGACTTTTCACCATTTTAGCAGTGAAGTCTATTTCTTAAAATCAGTTCAAGAGTCGTTTCAGGATTCGCATTAAGGAACACCCCGTATATTTGAGTCAACGAAAATTCTGTGGGTATCGATCACGAATTTATCATATCTTCAATTACGTATATGCATGCAAATAATATTTATGCAATAAACAAACGCAGCTCAAACAAATAATTTAACGCTTTGCCGCACTAATCATTGCAATTTCGATAGCAACAAACGAAATTTAATTTATTATTTAACGTACAATTTGGTTAAGGGGCGGGGGCAGGATTCAGCCATTGCGATTTAATTTCACATTATATTTAAACTTGTTGCGAATATTACGTGCGGTCTAGTTATATCGAACCGTGCCAGAGTGCCCCGAGGATCTATTCTGGGCTCATTGATTTTTAAAATAGTAGCATATTCCACTGCCTTTTTTTTTGAACTTGCACTTGCTTTCTTTATCAAACAAGCTGATATTTTTCAGTCTATATCAGACAGGTGTAATTAAACGTCAGTTAGTACCCAAAGGAATTGCATAGTGACCTAACGTATAGTTACGTCACTTTCATTGCAAGGAATTTTATTATGGTCAAATAAAAATGGATAATTATTAATTAAATTAAATGAATTTATTTATTATTTGGAAAATCAATGAATTTAGGGATGAGATATAATATTGTACGAATTGTTCTTCTCTTTCTGGCTAGGCTCGATGTTGAAATGTTTCATATATTCGATAAAAGTTTTTTATCCGAGTCAATTTGGCCCTCCTATTTGCTTTAATGAACGTCTCCAAAATTCACTGTTTTTTTTGGGAATGAGGCATTTTATCTATGACAAAAGAACATGTAAACATGTAACTGTCACACTCTGTAAATAACAAAAATTTTGTTTTTTGGTGACGACCTGCTTCATAGACTCATAATATATAACTTATAAATTATAGAATATTTTATTTTTGAACATTCCTTTTATGTTAAAAGCGCATATATCTATAGCACATATTATACAGGATTTTTAGGGGATTTTATTAAGCGCATTGATGGTACGCCACTGATTCTCTTAAAATAAAAATCATTTTTAAAATATACAGTCATTTTGCTTAAAAATATATGCATCTCTTCTCTGCATGGTCACAACGATATCGTTAATGCAGAAGAATATTGTCATTACTATTTTTTCTACATAAGGAATTGTCTATCTGTTTAATTAAACTATTTCAAAAAATTGAAATACAAATAGGAAGTACGAAAACTCCGAGGTTTTATAATTATTTCTTATCATTGAAACAGGTACTTTGAGTACAAATAGTCATTTAAAAAGGCTCATCGGACTCCGACTCAAGACTCCGGAAATTGAAGAGGCAGTTTTAAATTATATTGATGAAAATCCTTAACTTAGTACTAGAACAATTGTTGTTTTCGTTTGAAAAATTGTGCACGATTTTATATTGTATCCATAAATATTCAACAAGTTCAACCGTTACTTCCCAGAGATTTAAATGGCCATAATTATGGACGGTCTTTAAAAGAGGATTTGTCAAGTACCACGAAGTGCCAAATTTCATCAAAATATCTAAAGTGCTATTACGGATATATATTTTACTTTTGAAAACTTGACTCCCCTAAATCTTGAAAGTTAAGACGTTTTTTTTTAAATAAACCCAAAAGTCGCCCCAAATAGAAAACACACTGTATAACTTTTATCTGCGGGTGATTTCTGCAACGCCCTGTACATACACAAATATATCTTTCAAATAGCTGTCCGTTTTTTGAACAACTTTCGTGTTTGACGTTTTTTTTTTCCCAAATAAAAGAGTTAAAGGGAAAGGGCGGGAGCTTTATAAACGATCGCCCAATACTTTGAATGCGAAGTATTATGTTTAATTGATAATTAATTGATAAATATAATAATTTAATAACACTAATTTATAATTATCGTAATATTATTAGTACATTATGTCACTAAATATTCATTCATCTATTAATTCTATTCCGTCTAAATTTTCGTCAACCCACTAATAATATCTCACGCAAATGGTCTTAAAATATAAACCGACTTTTTTTATTTGACTGAGATACAAGATATGGTATGTTTACAGTGCGTGTAAGTACAAAAGAAAAAAATACACAATTTATTTACTATACATACACATACATGCATATACGCATACTATTAGATAAAATCTACAATAATAATGGATATAACAACATAGTACATAAGATATATAAACAAACAGGAATAAAAATGAAAAAATGAAAGTCCACACAGTATTACAGCATGTGACAAAATTGAATGAAAAAGAGCATAGTAGTTCGAGATAGATAATCCTTTCCTATTAAATTTTTCAATTGCCGTAACAAAAGTTAATACTGGAGGGACACTATACTAAATAAGCAATATGGTCCTTCCAAGAGGGCCTATCATCCAGGACCACACCCAATTTTAGGCTATTAAGACATTCCACATTCGCGTTTGATATTTTAAATGTTGACTCATCTGCAAAATTCGGCAGCAACAACTTTTTGCTGGTGGCTCTGCCCAAAACGATATACTTTGAAACACACCATACCACAATAGATTCGGTCAGAATTGGGAATTCCCGTGAACGCCCGAAATAATTAACCATTTCCGTACGTTTCGAATAACGTTTTGGTAAGTCACGTATTGCGTCTACCAGAAATGACTATTGCGAAGCTGCCACTTGTGGAAAACGGGTAAAATTTCCTCGCGTTTGGGTTTTTAAAGTGAGCGATAAGATTAGCAATATTGAGAAGAACAACGTATTTATAAGTGACGCGATAAAATAAATAGCTTAAAAGCGTACTTACGTACTTGCGTCAGTGCACTTTATGCAAAATGTTTCGAGCATTTACCGTAAGTACTTTCCTAGCTTTCTGAAAGTCCCGAAAATAATTATATACTTTTATATTTTAGATCCCAATTTGTGTATTCCTTTGGGAATTCGCGTATTGCTGCGAAGTACCCAGTCAAACCGCGGTCGGTGGAACCCACGCAGTTCGAGGAACTATCTGTCCTGGAGATGTAATTTTCGAAGAAACGTTCGACACGTTCGATCTGCGAAAATGGTCCCACGAAATCACGCTAACTGGCGGCGGGGTAAGTAACCGGCTTCAAATTCATGCGCTTCTGTTCTAACTTTGATCTTTTTTCCCAATTTACTTTGGATTGTGGGCTTGATTCTCGGCTTTCAACTCTTGTACCTAATGATGGTCCAAACATTGATTTTAAAGTTAAAGCTATCAAAATAATATTTATTTATTAGCTTGGGAAGAACAATTGTTTACAAAGTTTTACAAAATGCATGAAACAACAGAACTATAACCAGAAATCAACATATAGGTAAAATTAATATGAAACAGTGATTTATACTTAAAATTTGGACATCACATATTCCCTCAACATAGTTTTAAAATTATCGAAATTATCACATTTTTTCAAGGTATTTGGCAGTTTTTTATTTTCGGAGAGACCCTTATACAGAATATAATTTGTCATTTGGTTAGAGCGATACCTACTAAAATAAAATCATTGCAGTTTCTCCTATACTAACTATACACTCTGTTAACATATTTTTCGTTATCACAGATGTAATCAGGTAATAGCTCTTAACTTATACATAAAAATATTTGTATCATAAATAATTTGACATTTGACATTTGGTTTACAGGAATGTATCTGGTACACTTTAAGATCTATCTTAATACTCTATTTTGAATTAATTAAAACTCATTTATCTTTATCTTATAGTTCGGTAAGTTATACAGGACTGTGGAGCAAAATTTGAGATGAGGTACCGCAATGCTGTTATATAAAAGGTATTCGGTGTACATGGAAAGACTATGGCCTATTCTACATATAAATCCTAATTTTTGTGAAAATTTTCTCATTACATAATCAGCACGCGGTCGTAGCTTTAGTTCTGAGTCCATGACTCCAAGGTACTTAATTTTATTTTCGTGTACTAGTATGTTAGGTCTTCTACATTAACAGTACTCAATTTTTGTTTTGTGTAAATTTAGACTTGTTTGTGTTTACATAACCATTCATATATTCCGTTCAAATCACCGTTAATACTACGTTTCATCTGGTCTATGCCACTACGAACTAAATACAACATTGTATCATCTGCGAATAATTCCATTTTGCCATCGTTAATTACTTTAACTATGTCATTACTATACAATAGGAATAATAGAGGTCCCAGTACAGTTCCTTGCGGCACTCCATACATTGTATAGACAGTATCAGACACACTATTTTTAAATCTAACTTTTTGGGTTCTGTTATATGCATATGTATGCCTAGCTTTTCAATTTTTCTTAACAATGTAAACCTATCAATAGTATCGAAAGCTCTCCTAAAATCCAAGAACACAGTCAAAAGAAGATTATTACTATCAACAGCTTTCAGAAAATTGTCGCATATATTAACTATCATAGACTCACACGAATGCTGATGACGGGGAAACCTGACTGATTGGATACTAAAAAGTCATTGTTAAGCTATACTAAAACGAGATAAGGAGAGACTCCAACGACTTCAGAATGCTTGTATTCCTTTTAGTTACAGTCTCAGAAAGTATGACCATATTTCACAATGCCTGATGATTATAAAGCTCAGTTAGCCTTTGTTTTTTTACTAAACTGCAATAAGATCCCATCGTACTTGTTTGATAATCTTTGCAGAGGTAATGCTATTCATAATCGAAACACCCGTCATTATTTGAGATATTGCTTTCTTAGACACACTTTGGTAACTTTCCGGAGATCTTTCAACGTAGGGACGTTGAAAGATCTCCGGGAGGGCCCCAAAATAAAAGTCTTTCAAAAAATATTGTTTATTAGGCCCGCCAGTGTTTAGCAAAAGCATACAAGTTAATAATGTGGGTCGGGTCTATTTCTTATGTTTACGATGTTCGATATATTTAAAATACATTGGATTCCAGACTGGCGTAGCGTATTCCAAAACTGGTCTGACAAAAAAAAAGTATTATTAAAGATTTTTTTTTATTAAACGTATTAATCACCCCAAGACTCTTTAGACCCTTTTGTACAATGTATTCTACGTGCATCTCAAAAAGAAGTCCCGAATCCAATGTAATACCCATGTCCTTTACACAGTCCGAAAAGTTCAGTTTGTGGTTACCTAGGTAGAGATTACTTTTAATTTGTAATTGTCGTAATTTTTTTGTAAACAAAATACAGTGACATTTCTCAGGGTTATCAAACAATCTTTTCAGAGAACAATATTCTTCAAAATTTGACAAATCTCTCTGCAACGATAAGTAGTAGTGCTTTAGTCAAATTTATATTTTCAAACAAACCTTGTATACTAACGGACGTAATTAATATATGATGACTTTATTCTAGATTTTAGAATACGCAGAATTTCTTATAATTTTTTTTAAATAACTTAAATTTTCTTCATAAAATTAATAATAAAAAAGTTTCCCAATTTTGAACCAAAATATTATAAAAAAAGAATTCATTACTTTTGGATGGTCTATCTGACATACCTCTTCTTTTAAGACGCTATATTCATTATAGGTAGATTTAAATCAAATAAAACAAAGTTTCCCTTTGTTGTGATCCCGATATTCTATTGTGGCATTTTGTCTATTGGTCTTTGAATGAGCGATACCTTTTCACATTCAAAATGTCACTTTTGTCACCAAAAAATTTCAAAACCAGACGTAGTACAAGACGCACAAAATTAACGACTGCCCCAGCATTAGCGTGAGATTTTCTTCTTCTAGAGTTATCCCATCAAAAAAAATATTTCCTTCAAACCGTATCGCTAATAAAATGAAAAAAACGATTCCTCTTCTGATTATGTGTATATCTATGATAAAATAGAACTGTGACCGTCTAGCCATACAAAATTGTAGTTACAAAAACAATATTATCAAAAATGATAAGTACTGGTATTCCACTACAAAATACTGCAATCACATTATCGATGGCTATTCGACAACGATTGTGCTAATCGATGCACAATTCAAAGGTTATTTCATGTTTATTAATTGTCTGAACAAATGCTAACTGACAAAACAATAATATAATTGATTAGTACCAAATAACGTCATAATGTGATCCCTCCGCTTTGGTTCAAATTACTGGTCATTTCTCATAGAAAAGTACTTATATATTTTCATTATTTACAACTTTTAAAAGGCAATTCCCGTTATTCGACACGAGGTGTTATGATTGTTATCAAAGATATACAGGGTGCTGTTTAAGTGAATGTCAATAATTGAGGAAGTGATTTTTGGGTACATTTTAAAATATCTATAATCATATCTATATTTTCACAAAAAAGTAGCACAGTATCTCGTAAACAGCAACTTTCTGTCTTAAAAAATAACAGAGATAACCCATTAAAGTGCGTAAAATGGGATATCCGCTACTTACCAATGAAAGACGTCATTCTTTTGTTAATTACAGTCTCGACAATTTTTGCAAACACACTGGTAACACTAATAGGGCGATAATTATCCATTTTCTGCATCCAGAATTAAATATAAGACTTATATTTGACTTTGACGTTGACTAGCTTAGTTAAAATAACTACAAAATCATCCTTACTTGTAAATTTTTGCTTTTAGAGACATCAAGCTAAACAAAATGTAGGATTTGTAGGCAAGTTTTTTTCCAAATGACGTATAAAACAAAACACTATCAATTATATATATATATATATATATATATATATATATATATATATATATATATATATATATATATATATATATATATATATATATATATATATATATATATATATATATATATTATATATCAATGTATATTATATATGTGTTTAATAAAATATCTTATTCAGATTACAATGATGTAACACACTTTATATTTTAGTCCACTCGTTATTGACAAATCTGTAAAAATAAGAATTTTATCATATAATTTCATAGAGTGCCCTGACTGGCAAATAAAAATATGTTTGTTTGACATATTAGTAAACAACGTTGATGATTGAATTACTGTCCAGTCATTGTTGTTAAAATGGGTTTTCGCAATTTGGCAACCGTGAAGGGAGTGGTATGCTTCAAGTATACTTTCTGAATAATAAAAGTGCAACCGCAGCTCGTCGTCAGTATAATAGACTTTATCCAGAATGTCGAGCTCCTTCAAAATAGATATTTTCAAGGCTCTCAAAAAAAATTGCAGAAAACGGCAACGTATTAAATGCTAAAAAGGTATGCCGGAATCATAATATTTTAAATGAAGAAAATGAGGCAAACATATTAGGATTCTATGAAGCCCACCCAATTTCCCCTATTACTAGAGTATATGAAGAGACTGGTATTTCTCGGGAATCAAGCCACTCAGTTTTGAAAGAATATAAATATAATGCATTTAAACTTCGTAAAACTCAAAAACTAAGTGCAGTACAATGTCAGTTTTGTTGTGAATTTTTTAAATAGACATAGAGTCACATTTTTTTGAAAAACATTTTATGAACTGATATTGACGCGATATTAACCTTTAAATAATCCTAGACAATACAAGAAACAAAAACCAATTATTTATTTATTTACGGTTTAACCAATTTACAAAACTTTTACATTCATTAAAGGCAAAGAGAGAGAAAGACAGCAGTATAACAGCTAGAAACCAGAACAAAATATACCAATAACAATAAATAGAATTAATCGAACGGAACACACGGAACGAAGTGAGTGGAGGCTGCCGACAGACAGTTGCAAGCTTTGATCATTCTAGTAAGGGGTGAATAAACTCCATAATTTGAGCGATGGTAAAGTATGCGGAACATTGAGTTATCACAGCTTCTGTAATATGTAATAATCACTCTGAAATCTTCTGGTTTGAGGAGTATCACTGTTGAATGCCTCAGTTACAATACTGTAATTGATCTGGTACCCATCATAGATATTGATATGAGCATTTGAATCCAAAGGTCTTAAAAATACTTTCTGAACTGCTTCGATATTATGTATATGGCAGGCATAATATGGAGACCATAGACCATAAGAGATATATAGGAGTTTAAAGCAATGTGGAGTAAGTTAGCCACTATTGTATACAACAATCCCAAGGACTCGCGTAGACCTGTTTACCACTTCCGCAAGATGTGTCACCAAACTTAGTTTAGAATCGGACGAAACACCCAAGCCAGTGCCGGATTCGATCTCGACTCCATCAATGCTATCCGCAAACAAAAGACTCTGAAACTACATTAACAATATTATTTATAAACAATTAATTTATGGTGTGGTGTCATAGATGGGCATATAGAACAATATATAGAACATTTACCCCTAAATACATAAGCGCTGATTATATGACAGCAAGACGGTACCCCTAGGGAATGACGGAACTATGGATTGGCCAGCCAACTGTCCCGACTTAACTTCAATCGATGTTTCCTTTTGGGACACATAAAAAATCACGTGCACAGAACCCCATATAATAATGTCGTTGAAATTCGGCAATGGATTTCAGAGGCAATCCATCAGCAAGACATCATACAATTAGAGTGTATGAGAAATGTGGTCAGCAAAATGGTGCAGTTTTTAGAACAGTTAAAAAATTTTGTACTTTAGTGTGCGTTGTCATTTTTAGTGTTTTTGTTCTACTTTAATTTGTAAATATATATTATTGTTGCAGTCAGTCACGGCTATCTTTGAAATTATTTAAAATTTCCTATTTCTGTCGATTTGTCAAAAACGAGTTACAGCCAATGTTATCAAGATACATTGAACGCACGATACATGTCACGAAACTTATCAAAGTAGTATTTTTTCAAATGGAATATCCCGTATACTATTTGGTTTCGCATTTTTAGAATTGGGAATTTGAGTACTACACCAACAACAGAACCAACAGTTTCGTGGATAAAGGATACCTGCATTTGCGGCCGACATTTTTAGCTGACGAAGTCGGAGAAGCTTTCCTTAGCTCAGGAACGTTAGACGTTAATGGCGGAGCACCTGCCGATCAGTAAGTATATTGGATAGCGTATATTATTACAAATCATTTATTAACTTATTTGGTGATCAATGTATCTACAAAATTGCATGTAGGTACAATACTATTAAAATATGGCTAGCCATAAGTAGAGTTAAAATATTAAGCTAGAAATATTGCTCTTAATAAATTCTTATAGTAATAAATATTAGGAATATGATTTTCCAAGTTGTTTTTTTTTTAAATGTTTAATTTGCACGGTGGACATTGACAAAATATCAATAACACTAGAACACCCTTTGGCACTTCTTGCAAACTGACATAATGGTAAATTTTATGCAGAGTTTGTGTTTGTAAAAGCCGTATTAAAAATTTCACTGTAGTGAAGATTCATTTGAGGCATATTTAAATGAACCAATGATTAATGTTGGAGACCTTTCTTCTCTATGCTAAAAAACATATCTTTTAATGTGATTTTAACTAATAGGGCTTAATGAAATTAGAAAAAGTCATTGTCACAATCCGTTAAAAGTTGGTTTTCGTTAAAAAAGCTTATTAATCAACTGTTACTGTCATGGCCCACCAAGAATATTGAAATACTGAATATTGCGATATGCATTTTTACTACGGAAGAGCAAATGGATCATTGAAACCTGATAATACAAATAAAGGGAGACCAAGGTATAAAAGAACCGCTACAAGAGTTTTGCATGAAAATGATCTTCGATGCTTTCATGTTCAAAGGGGTCAAACACTTTATGAGAGTAATGAGCAATTGAGAGTAATTCTATGCAATCAAATTTTAGGAAAAAATCAATTCTTAAATGTCGTTTTGTTTGTGAAAACCCAGAAGCAGAAATTGAAGGAAAACACCAGCGCTGGTTTTCTTTAAATGTATGGGCAGGGATTATAGGAGATAAACTAATAGGACCTCATTTCTTTAACGGTTCGCTTAATGCGAAATGTATTTGTAATTTCTCCCAGAGGAACTACCATCTTTGCCGGAAGAGTTACCCTTGCAGTGGAGACAACACACGTGATTAATGCAGAATGGTGCTCCACCCTATTTTACTGTTTTGAAAAATTTAGTTTCCACTTTTCTATGCGGAGTATTCGGGCCGAGAATAAAAAAGTCGATTTGTGGCTAAACGATAACACTCATCGACTTAAAACCAGAGTAACTATTTTTGAGGATTTGTGATTCTGCATAAGGCAATGTGTTCTATTTTGCAATATCAGTCTAAATAAATAAAATACAGTTAAAATAAAAAAAATGTTCTAGGTAAAGCGCCCTCTTGTGACAGATTTCTGCAACACTTTTATTTTGTAACTATGACTTTTACTAAATTAAAAATAAACAATGAATTTTAAAATAAAGGCAAAACAAGTTCAAAAAAATATTTATATCAACGTTTGTAGATGTACGAATGCCATGTCATACGGTTGTCTGCGGGCAGGCACCCTGAGCAACATCATAAATCCAATAAAAAGCGCCAGAATCAGAACGGTCGAGTCGTTTTATTTCAAATACGGAAGGGTAGAGATTAACGCCAAAGTACCATCAGGAGATTGGCTATGGCCAGGTGAGGAAAATATACTGGGGAGAAGGTAAAACGTCCCTTTGTGAAAATTTCAGCTATTTGGATGTTGCCCCGCTACAATCAGTACGGAAGCTGGCCAGCATCTGGCGAAATCGACATACTGGAAAGTAGGGGAAATAAGAATTTGGTATTGAACGGCGTCAACATCGGCACCGAGCAAGTGAGCAGTACCCTGCACTGGGGACCCAACTATTACTACAACAGATACCAGCAGACCCATTTCGAGAAGAATTCCGCCCAAGGCTACGACACTGATTTCCACAAGTACCAAGTCGAGTGGACCCCCGATAATATCGCCTTTTCGGTGGATGGTGTAGAAATTGGAAACGTTAAACCAGAAGGTAGCTCCGTATATTAACCATAGAGCTATTGTTGATTCTATTGTCTTATGCAAGTGTCAGAAAAAACAAACGACGATCGCAAGCTATCAAAATGACAGCAATTTTTTTTTCCTGATTTCAAAAACAAAGTTCTACTTTTGACAACTGTTCGAGACTAAAGATCTGCAGCGTAAGTTAAATAACTTAAGATATTTCAAATGGGTTAATACCGTGGAAAAAAAACGCCAAATAATAAAATTATATTATTGAAACAATAGAAATATCAATAATTAACGCTAAGCATTTTCCACACAACATTATGTGAATATTAGTTCGTTTAAAACAGAAAGTAGTAGGCAAAACTTTCCAATTTATTAATAACATCTTCTTACTTTTTGCTTTTGTTGAGTCGCACTAGCTAACGTTTCGCCAATCATCCTGTTGGCTTCTTCAGAACTTGACTGAAACTCACGGAAACGGAAAAATCAGTTCCTTCAAAAGGTTCCAGCTTTGTCCTTGTATTATCCCACAAGAGGAAATCATTTCAAATATCGAATGTATCCTAAACAAACTAACATCGCAAATGGTTAATGAAATTCGATTTTAAAGCAAAAATCCTTAAAAAATCGCCCTCAAATCTCTAAAATATAATCGTCATCCTTAAAGCAGATAAAGGAAATGCTACGGTGGTCATGAACACAAACGAATATCAGGAAAAGATCTTCTTACAGACGGATCATATCGTCAAATTAAAAAAGTTCCTACGTCATCTGAACCGTAACCTTAAATCTATTATTAAGGCCTCTTCTCTTTTAGACTCCTTGGGAAAATCTGTCACCCCCCATGACTCTAAAATTCCTCGTCTCTACGGACTCCCAAAGATTCACAAACCAGGATTACCCCTTCGACTTATTGTCAGTACAATTGGTTCTGCAACATATTCTCTACCAAAATATCTAGCTTCCTTATTAAAACCCTTTACAGAGAAAATTGACAGTTTAGTAATTAGTTCTTTTCACTTCATTGAACAAACAAAAAGCATTAGATTAGATACAAAATATTGTGGTTAGTTTCGACGTAGAATTAATCTTTATTAAAGTTCCTATTACTGAAACTCTCACCATCATTTCAGATAAATTAAAATCCGAAAATATGGAACCAAACCTTTTCACCTTAATTGAAAAATGCTTGTCTGGAACATATTTTTCTTATAACGGATAAATTTTTGAACAAAGTCGGGAACAGATAGCCCTAATATATTTATAGAAGCCTTTGAGAAGAAAGCTCTTGACACCTTTCATCTAAAACCAAAATTATGGAAGCGCTACGTCGATGGTACTTTTGTTATTTGGCCTCATGGTCAAGAAACCCTAGTAGATTTTCTTAGACATTTAAACTCTATACACCCTAGCATACGTATTACCATTGAATTGGACATTAATAATAACCTTCCATTCTTAGATATTCTTATCAATAGAAAATCAGACCTAACATTGGGTCATTGTATTTACAGAAAACCTACGCACACAGACAGATACCTTAATGCACGGTCACATCACCATCCGGCACAAAAATCATCGGTTATCAACTCTCTTGTTTACAGAGTCGTAAAACTATCTCAGCCCGAGTCACTGAACCCAGAATTAACACCTTGCTTCCGCTCTTCTGTCTAATAATTTCCACATTAACTTCACCACAATCTTCCAATAGCAATCAGGCCGAAAGCAATCCTACACTTGCCACTGTCGTCATTCCTTACATTGAAAACATCACTGACCACATATCAAAACTTGTAAAGAAGTATAACGTCAAAACCAGATTTACCACTTGTCCAAAAATCTCTCAACATCTTCGATCCGTCAAAGACAAAATTCCATTTGAGATTGCAGGAGTTTACAACGTTCCATGCATATGCCGCAAAGAATACATGGAAGAGACCGGACGAAAAATATTAACTAGGCTCAAAGAACACGAAAGAGCCTTATGACTAATACAAATTAACTCATCAGCAGTTGCCGAACACAATCACGAAACCGGACATAAAAATTACAGAGTAAAATGCGAGCCAGTTTCAGTCAAGCTCTGAAGAAGCCAACAGGATGATCGGCGAAACGTTAGCTAGTTCGACTCAACAAAAACCGACGCAGGAGGAAACTAGAAGTTTTATAAAAAGTATTACAGTAGCCTGTGGGAGTTTCTTTGAAAAATTATTAGTCGCATCAACTTAAATTATGATTCCATCCATTAGATAACTTCTGGAATTACGGCAACCTTCAGAACAGCAATTTGGACAATCCTTGGAAGGCGGGGTCGAAAATGGCACCCTTCGATCAAGAATTCTATCTGATAATTAACCTGGCTGTGGGCGGAGTGAACTTTTTCGACGACCAAGCGACCAATCCCGGCGGAAAGCCGTGGTCCAACACGTCTCCCACCTCAGCCGCCGATTTTTGGAACGGAAAGAACCAATGGGGCCCCACCTGGAATACCCAGGACGGAAGTTCAGATTTAATCGTGGACTATGTAAAAGTTTTCGCCATATAACATTTAAGAAAATATAAATAAATCAATGAAAACGAATGGTCAGTTTATGTTTGTATGTATAACTCCACGGAGTGAAAAAGTGAAGCGAATTTTAATTTTTGTTTAATATTGTTTTTTATATTTTTTATTGTTTATTAACTTATGTTTTTAAATTGAATCAGTAATTACTAAAATTTGATACAATAAAAAATTGTGACAACTTTCATTTACGGAATTTATACGGCAACAGCGTGTTATATGTGATAGACAAATGTTTAAGAGGAAATATTTCAAAAAGTAAAAATATTAGGCATATTTATAAAATTGCTTTGATTTTTAATGCTAAATATAACAAGATTGCTTTTGAAAAATCGTTGCTGGGCGGGACAAATTCGTAGTGCGTAGCGCGAAGCAGCTTTTTATTATAAAAGGAAAGTGCTTCGAGGTTTCGTGTGGAAAAGGGAGGCATTGTTTTTCTATACTGCTCCTGCGGACCACTATGGAACTTTCGAAAAATTTAATTTAATTGTACCTGCACCCTGTATAAAACGTACTTCACATCTCGTGAAACTTCAAAGTTACAGTCAAACATCGATAAATATTAAAATTTTCACAAATAATAGCGTTGTTTTTTCAAATATCTCGCGCCCTGTATAATTGACGAAACCTGAAACTCTCACGACACGGTTCAAATAAAATTATCCCATCTTTAACGGTTTTTCATTTATCGCCAATAATTTACCCACAAAAACGGAAATTTCTAGGATATTTTCAGATTTTTTGCCCATAAACGACGCACCATGTATATGATACAATCATTGTTGGAAGTAGAGGTTATAGCCCTGGATTTTCCACTCGTTTTGGTTCAAGAATTTTTTGAAAATAGTAAATGGTTTTCGAGAAAATATTTTTTTCTCTTGACAGCCCCCGAAATAGAGCTTTCAATATGGATTTTTTCAAATATCCCGGGCAGCGTATGTGATAGACGAAAACCGCAAATACAAAGCTCTTGATGCGGCCTATGACACCGTTTGAACCAATTAGCCATATTTTTTACGATTTTTTATTTGCGGCTAATAATTTACTCTGTAAAAGAACAGTTTTCTAGGACCCATTTTCAGTTTTTTTTGACTTTGCAGCGCACCCTGTATATTTTTAAAAATTGTTAAGGATAAAAGTTTATGCGTCTTCTGGTTAAAGAATTTGTTAGTCTCGTAAACGGTTTTTGAGAAATGATACTTCCTGACCCCCAGCTCTCCATTTTCAATAGGTTCCGTCACGGGACAAAGCTGCATGTATATGCCAAATATGAAGGTCGATTGCTTCAAATTTCTGACACTTATCGTCTTTCATAGCAATATTCAAAAAAACAGTCGAAAATCGCGTGTGTGTTTCGTGTAGGGTTAAAAAGGAGGCAAGTTTCCGAACTCAATTTGCCAACACCCTGTATACGTTAAGTGTTCATTTCGAGAACTCATATTGGCAACTTTACACACACATGGTCAGGCAATAAATTATTTTATTTATTTTAACAATAATCGACAAGCGAAATCTAAATGCGCTAGGACCTTCGAGCAAATAGCGGACCGACAAAATCGGAAAACGGGGGGTTATGGGGGTGGGGGCGCACCTCGAAAATTTCCAATTTGTTTAAATTGTTTTCAACGCAGTTAATTTAGCAAAACAATGGGGGCAAAAACCGCTTCCCCGAATTTCTTAGATGTCGCCGTAATTACGTTCCGCGTCGCTCCCGCTGAATGTATGAATAAGTTCGGAATAAGTTCCTGCAGGAATTTAATTCCTGCGACGTCGAAACGTGCGCGAGTAGTTCGCGTGGCGAAGAATTCGCTTTATTTATTTTTGTAATCGGATTAAATGCTCCGCGGCAGGCAGTCGCGAGATTTTTTCGGCATCTTTTATTGCGTTTCTCGTCTTTGTTCGGCACGTGGGGACGGGCACACGGGAACCCACAATACATTTCGTACAATGATCGTTTTCCTCGTCATAGATTAATTAAGTAGGCTGTGACCCTTCACAAAGCAAGCGATTTAAGTAATCTTGTTACCATGGAAACGTCAACAGTAATTTTGTAACGTTTGTTGTCAGCGTCATTTTGAGAATGTTTTATTTATACGATTTTACGTGTGGAAAGTGGAGGGGATTTATTTAAACAAATTAGCTTTCGACAAAATTGAAAATGCAGGAAGCCCGTAAAGGTAAGTTTTGAGGCTAAGTAAATTACTCTAAAATAATATTAATCTAAGAAAATATATCATGAACAAGACAGGAATTTTAAGAGTTTGACGAGTTACCTTGGAGTTACCTCTATAGTCCGGGAGCCCTGGACCTTTTTTCAAAATGATAAGCAACAAATTAATTCTTTGGAAATCGTTTCATTTCATCAAGACGCCCAACCTTTTCCTCCACGAAAATTGTTGTATCAGGTAGCTAACTATACATGCAGGTATAAAATCATGCCAATTTAGTTACCATACCAAAATGATCAGCGACAATTTAGTTTTTAGCTAAATCTATAGATATTGAAATATATAATTTGAAATTAAATTTGGTCTACAAATAAATAGGTTTGGTATAAGGTGGCCACCCCCTCAAAGTTGTATCTATTATTTATTTATAAAAAGTGATGAGCAACATGCTATTTTTTTTATTGTAGCTTGCTAATAATTTTTATAAACAAATGATCACATTGTACTACAAATTGTACTGGTAGGATTTTCAACACTAGGACCGTAATTTAGAGGTTAAGCAGGAATAATGTTCAAAAGTCGAACTTGCAACCTATTTTTTGTCGCACTAGAGAAATCTACCTTATTTTTATGTAGGACATTAATTGATTTAGATAGAAAATGTCATCAAGTTTCATTTAATTTTGGTATCCTACCGTTGCTGATGAATAACGTATTATCGTGAGGTCAACAACTTGAAAGTGTTGAAAATCCTACCAGTTTATTTGTAGGACAATGTGATCATTTGTTTATAAAAATTATTAGCAAGCTACAGCAAAAAAATTAGCATGTTGCTCATCACTTTTTATAAATAAATAATAGATACAACTGTGAAGGGGTGGCCACCCTATACCAAACATATTTGTTTGTAGGCCAATTTGAATTTCAAATGATATATTTCAAGATCTATATATTTAGCTAAAAACTAAACTGTTGCTGATCATTTTGGTATGGTAACAAAATTGACATGATTTTATACCTGCGTGTATAGTTAGCTACCTAATACAATAATTTTCGTAGAGGAAAAGGTTGGGCGTCTGGATGAAATGAAACGATTTTCAAAGAATTAGCTTGTTGCTTATCATTTTGAAAAAAAGGCAAGGGCTCCAGAACTACTACGCAAATCTTATACCCAGTTCTTAATTTCATCCGCCAATTAAGCCAGGTAAGTCAGAGGCCCCTACCATGTTATATAATTGAAATTGCTATTAAAAATATATATTGAGAAACGTGACATCACCGCGTATTTTAAGAAGCATAAGAAAGTATTATTTTCTTAAAAATAATATGATTATCGCTAATAAGTTCTAAATGGTCTTTGTCTTTGAAAGAACTATCCAAAAATGCAATAAAATGTACGGTGTTCTTTCAACTTTCAACTTTGTTTTACCTCCCTGTAATAAAAATAAAGGTCATTTACAATAGAAACAAATTTCGAATTTAATTTTTTTTTGTAACCCCCGTATGCTTCGAGGTATAGGCCCCTCTTGAACGGGCCACCCTGTACATTCCGCCTTATTGCGAAATTTGCCAACACCGACGCCGGACACTTGCGTCGCGAAACCAGTACGCGATACGTTTCGCTGAAATGTTTAGCAAACCGAGGTTCCCGCGGGATTTAAGCCTAATATAGGAATAAAAGTTTCATGGGGAGTCCAAAATCGGCCGTACGATCGATGAAAGCCAGGCGTTTTTATAATTCAGTAAAATCTGAAGCGCTGCACTCGAATCCACGCCAGCTGGGATCGAAACGCGCCCGACGTTCATTTTTTTCTGGTCGTGTCCCAAGAAAAAGAATATGCTTAGAATGTGCGTTATTTGTAAGGTCGGACCCTTGAACATAACCTTGAAAATCTTGACAATGAATTTAATACATTTCATGTTCTCTTTCTAAGGGCATTTAATTGTTCAAAATGTAGAGTGAATACCTACGAGGCTAAGTGACTTATAAAATGTGCCACAAAAGCACCGGATTTTTTTATTTATACGGCCTACTAATACTAATACTAATACGACCGGGGCTGCAGATTATTTTAACAATTTTTTCATCGATTCAGTCAATAGTTTAAAAAATGTGTTTTGGCCTGATAAAAATACGATCTCGCCAGATGCAGGTCCTGCAGAGAGTATGGACGCCCTGTAAATATATATATATATATATATATATATATATATATATATATATATATATATATATATATATATATATATATATATATATATATATATATATATATATATATATACGTTTTTGGAATCCTTGGTTAAAATAAAGATTACTTTCTTATTCGAATTTTGCGTAGTTCAGGCAAAAATAATTTTATTATTATATTAAATTATGTTGTGACGCTACTGATCCAGGTATTGTAACGAAAAACAGACTAAGGAGATGCTGCACTTCTTAATCAGTTATGCGCCTTACCTTATACAGGGTGTCCCAAATAGATGGTGCCGTTTTGGCGAATTCAATTAACAAAGTCTCAGTATTTGCAAATGGAACAACGTATATTTTTATTCAGATATCAATTCTAGGATAAAAAATAAGGTAACTTTTTATTTTATCTTATATTTTAATTTTTCTTACTTTTTGAGATATTCGAGATTTAAAATAACACCGGTATAAATTCTTATTGAATTTAAAGCTGCCCACATTAGGTCACTTGTTTGCAATATTATGTATTTTTTAAAACTCTTTTAAAGATGTAATACTCCAGATATACAATAAAATATAAAATAAAATCATAAACCATATTGCTAACAATCAGCATCTAGCTTAATATAAAATACCAAATAACAAAAATAAATAATTAA